CCCCCCCCCTCCCGTCTATGTCGACCCCTTAGTTCCTTAGTTGACCCGAGTATAAGCCGAGGGGGGCATTTTTCAGCCCCAAAAATGGGCTGAAAACCTCGGCTTATACTCGAGTATATACGGTACTTGCTAAATGTTTTGCAGAGACAGCATTTCAAAATGCAAGAAAAAGATGGGGGTAAGCCACAAAAACCCAACAATGAATAAAATCCCAAGTCAAATACGAACTATTAATCTATAAGAGAAATCTTTATCCTCATTTCTTCCCTTTGTTGTTATGCTGAATATAACGAAGGTTTTCCTCCTTTATGTGTGTGTTACAAATTCTGTGCCAACATATTGATTGAATTAACCCTTATTTTTTCATTATACACTAACTGTGAGACCCCTGAGTCAGATAGTTTCTTTTGACAGCATACAATCTGCTCTTAGTTAATAAACCCATTTCTCTTTTTCTTTAGAAAGCAGATTGAAATAGACAAGTATGACAGAATTACTAATCATTAGCAGGGGAAAACTGTCCTTCATTTTAGATGTCATCTTAGTATTTACATGGTTTTGCAAGGATTTTTTTTTACAAATATGCTAACTCAGATTTTTTTCAAATGACTTTTAGAAAGTTAATAATGTTACAGTGATTTATTATATTACAGTGTCTATTTCATAAAGTCCAAATAAATGTTACTTTAGTTAACAGACATGACTTATTCACCTGTTTCCTTCTGAGTTAGAATAAAGTTTCCAAAAAATGTAGGACAATTTCACTTCAATCATCAAAATTTTCTGATTTGTGTTCAGATTAATTAGCTAATTTGCTCTTTTATTTCACTCTCTGGAAGGCTGTAAACCTCTTTCATGTCAACATACTATATGGTATTTCCTATAGCTGGATCCTCTTCAAGCAGGTGTAACTACATCTTCTATTTCTCAATATATTCAAGGAAGGAGATGCCATTTTCTATGTTTGTATCATATTACAGCATTCTAAAAATAAAATTAATCTTCTATATAAATAAAAATGTAAATGTTCGTTTGTTCAAAATCTTAAATCTCCAAAAGTTCTTCACCGATTGCTTTGAAATTTTGACATAACGTTGCATTCGAATACGTGTGTGTTTTTATATACCTACTATTATATAGATGTCACACCTGTGACAGGTAAAAACATTTAACCTGTCTGAGCCACAGCAACGCGTGGCCGGGTACAACTAGTATTCTAATAAAACAGGTTATGTCAGAAATATTATAGTTAACCCTTATCCCATCTCAGAAGGTAATTTATACATAATTTATTAATATGTTAATTACCCTAATTCATACACCAAGAATAGTTTACTTCTAGAAACCTGCCTTCCACTTACTGTTTTTTCTTCAACATTCCAAAACACAGCAGACCCTTCCCTATAAAAAAAATTACAAATTAATGTTAGACTAATGATATTTGTTTTAGGGATCTTTAGAACAAGGGGCAATGCAAAGAATTTTAGTGATACCAAGAATTTTAAAGATTAATATTCAACTGAAATCAGTTGAATCAGAAATCAGAGAGACAACTAGAAAAGAGTTATGGAATATTATTTTTGTACATGATAATCTGCAGCAAGATTATTATATTCCCCAAAGTCAAAAGACTCTGAATTACCTATAATGGAGGAATGTTGGTGAAGATAACAGAATTTGCAGACAGGGCAAAATTGATTTGTTTGGTTAGGGACAATCATATTTGTCAGTGACTGGAAACCCCTTATGGACTTTTGCTGAAAACAGAAAAAATGAACATGATTTCTGGGTTTGATGATTAGAAAGGATAGAATATGGGAAGAAGGGAGCCACAATGTAACTATAATGACAGGGAATAAAATATAAATGCATTTATAACTGCTGTAAACAAGATTGGAAGCCACTTCTTTATGTATATATTTTTCCTGTCTTACTTAGTTATCATTTTTCCTTGCTTTTCTTTTTCTTAATTAATTTTGTCTAGCAGAATTGACATTTCTGAGGACGACACAGATGAAACAGCAATCTTTTTTCTGGCTATGGATACTTGTTTCAGTTTTGTCTTAGTTTCTGCACTACACATAATTCTCAGCTTATCACCACAACCAAGCCCCAAATTTCCAGGGCCGAGTCAGTCAGTTAAGTCAGTTTTGTCCCATTTTACAATCGTTTTTGCCACAATTGTTAAGCGAATCACTGTAGTTGTTAAGCGAACCATGCAGTCATTAAGCAAATCTGCCTTCCCCCATTGATTTGCTTGTCAGAAGCTAACTGAGAAAATTATAAATGGTGATGACATGATCCTGGGACAGTGCAACTGTTATAAATACAAGCCAGTTGCCAGGCGCTCAAATTTGATCACGTGACCATGGAGATGCTGCAACAATCATAAGTGCAAAAACTGGCAACAAGTGACTTTTTTCTTTAGTGCCACTGTAACTTCAAATGACCACTAAATGAATGGTTGTGAGAACCACTTGTAGTTATTGGTAGGCTTCTTGACTCAATTCCATCTACTGGTCATTACCCTTAAGGCCCTAAAGAACATGGCACCAAGATTGATTAGGGACCAACTTACCAAACAAGATTCTGCCTGTTTGATCCAAATACTAAAAGTGGGCTTGCTGGAAGCCCTACCTCCACCTGAAGTAGGAGAGGTATGGGTTAGAAGGCAGGTATTCTCAATAAAAGCTGCTACAGAAAGTTTATTTAGCACCAAATCTCCTTGTGTTCTGGAAAGCTCTGAAAACAATTTTTATGTAATGATTTTTGAGTCATAGGGTAACTATGGCCAATCATTTGATTGCATGTTGTCGCTTATAGTATTTCTGTATGTTTTAATAAAGTTGATCTTTTCTCTTTCTTGTAAATGCCCCAAGACTGCTTGACTGGGGAGTTCTACAAATATTGTAAATAAATAAACATCACTAAAATTCTGAATGACACTGAAGGAATAAATATGTAATTTTCTTTTAGGTGGAAATGAAAACTTTAGGTCGCATATGCTACATTATCGGTCTTTACTTACTTGAAGAAAAATATGATCCCCAAATCATGTTCTTTGGCTGTTTTGTCTGTGCCAACCACCAAAACGTTTGCTGCATCTAGTTTTCAAAAAAAATCTTATGTGAAATTATATTGTAAAAAATAGAAACAATCACAACATTTAGCATGCACCCTATATGCCATTCCCAAGATATTTTTTTATTAAGTGTTTCTCTTTCAAATCTAGCTGTTCTCCTAGTGACAATCAATAAGTCTATGCTTTTTTCTTGGTAAAAATGGCATTCTTCCAGGATATTTTATTTACCCATCTACCTTATGGTTCTCATAGTCCCTGATGGAATCCCATCAAAATATTAAAATGGAACAATCCAGTTTACTTTCTGAACCCAGACAAGATTAGATAAAAGCTGCTATCTGGTAAGGTTCTGTGAGGTTTACAACTTATAAATATGAATAAAATTGTGCTGTGTGTCACATACAGCGCAAGCATATATCTATGAGAGCACTCTGACAATTCCAGAATAGAAGTGAAGATGAAGAGACATTTGTAATTCTCATATTCTAAGTTAATCTACAACTTAACATCAGCTGTGGTGGCGCAGTGGTCAGAAGGTAGTATTGCAGGCTAACTCTACCCACAGCCAGGGGTTTGATCCAGACTGACTCAAGATTGATTCAGCTTTCCATCCTTCTGAGGTCGATAAAATGAGGACCCAGATGGTTGGGGGCAATATGGTGACTCTGTAAACTCCTTATAGAGTGCTTTAAAGCACTATGGGGTCGTGTGTAAGTCTAAGTGCTATTGCTATTGCTACAACATGATTGTTTATAATAAAACTGAATTGATTTATATTGATTTTCCAGCATTAACATAATAAATTATACACAAAGTTAATTAGTGACATTTATTATTCAAATTATCATTTCTCATGTTTTTTAAATCAAGATTTAATTTTTACTAAAATACATTCAAGGCGATCCATTACAGCTTCAAAAGGAATTTGATTAATTTTAAAATTTATTTATATATAGAAAGCAATCATTATTTTCAGATATTGGGACAAACTACTGAATGTGTTATTATCTCTTTTCCCCTTAACACTGAAGAATTCCCTTTGTAAAAAAGGATATGAAGTATAATAATGCTAAAAATACATATTGGGTGGCTACTAATTATCGATCGGGACAGGAATTAGCATGCTCAAAAGGCATACAAGGACTACATGTAGAGGGACACAATAACAATATCTGTCAATATTTTTGACTGAAAGCTGCTCTTGAAATTTACTTCAATGGTAGACAACCTAGATCCCTCTATATGTTTTAGCACTAAGAATGTGCTCACTGGCAAGGGATTCTGGGAGTTGTAGTTTAAATATACGGAGGTAGAATTTTTTTTAAAGAAGTCAATGCTTCATATGGTCTGGATTCTTTATTTTTTACTTATCTTATTAACTTTTCTTTACATCTACCATTAAATTTTCTTTTGATTCTTTTTTGGTCACATCATATTAATTTAAATTCAGAAGCTACAGCATAGAATAAACTTGTTTAGCTCAACTTTAAAGGTGTAAAGCTTACTTCTATACACATTTTAATAGTGGAAATAAAATCCTGAAACAATCCATTGGCATGCCATTTAGCCTTACTCTCTCCATAAAATGATCCATTGATGCTTATTACATTCTTTTCAATGTTTATTATAGCCTTCTGAGGATACGTGCGGTCTTTCATTTTATTTGGTTGCATTTTGCTATGCTATACGATGAAAAAAATGATAGTGGCCTGCAAACAGGAAGAATTGTCATTAAAGCCTTCACAAAGCTTTAATGATAGGTAAACAAATTACTGGCAAAAAGAGTTTCTCCAACTCTTTATAGCCTGTTATTCATCTGTCAGCTCTGTTCACTCTTCCCATCTCTAAAATTTGAATGAGGCAAATTTCATAAATTTGGTGACCTCAAGATTCTCTTTAGAAATTACAGAGTAATAATACAGACTATCATCTGGAAAGGAATGTTTAAGCTAAAAAGTGTTTTTTCTTTGCAGTAAAAATCATTAGGAATTGTCAAATTGCACAATTAAAGGTTTTCATGTATTAATGGTATTAAATACATTATATGCAATAAGTCATTATTTCATGGGTGTGCTTTGTGTGGTCCTACGTTAGCTGCTTTCCTAGCTTATTAACCCAAAGGTATTAATGCATGTATGACATAGAGTTACTTTACAATGTGTAACTGCCACATGATATCCTTAAACAGTTTTCATTTAAACTCCATGCACTTTTTAATTCCTTAAGCCAGAAAATTAAGAGCCCAAATTTGGGAAGGAAGATGGCCTGACAGCAGACCATGCACAAACACTTCTGTAGATGTACTTCTACACCAATTATTCACTTATTTCTTAGAAATAAAAGTTAGCACCTACTTAAGTGTTAAGCAACATTTCTATAAAGAAAGCATTTGTACAAAACCTGTTTGATGATGTATATCTGAAAAAGCATCAATAAAGAATAAATGATCTACTTGAAATAATTGTTCAGAGCTCTACCTCTAGGTAATGTGATTTCAACATATCCAGATGAGACCAGGTCAAGGCACAGATTACCAAGATGATAGGCATCTGCTGTTGCAAAGGCTATACACTGCATTACATCCTATGCCAAAAAGAACAGAATTTCCTTTAGAAAACAGTTGCCTCACTAGAATTGCTAGAGTGCTACACAAGCTCATTGTTAGCATTTTGCCACTAGGTGGCTAAAATTCTGCACAGAACTATAGTTGTTGTTTTTCAAAAGTCTTACACTTAAAAAGTTTCAAACTTGCTTCACTGATATAAAGAATAGACAAATATCTCCTCTGGATCTGCTAAGCAAGTTCAAAAACTAGTTCTTTGGAAGATTATATATCTTATATATTCATTACAAGCTTCACACTACTACACTATCCATGCAAATGTAGTTTGGCTAACTGCTCTGAGTTTAGTTCCAACATCTATCTTTGATGTTAAGATGTTTTGTTAAAGGCCAATACTCAAGATGTGATCCTGTTTGGCCTCTTATTCCCTAAAACAGGAGTCTCCAAACCCCCCCCCCCCGGTTGCAGTCCCGATCCAGTCAGCACTCTGTGGGAACCAGGTTGCGCAATCAGGTGCACACACAAGCGCGCAAACTTCTATTTGTGCAAGCAGCAGGTGCACATGAGAAATCATCCCCTCTCCCTTCCCCTGTTGCCAGGAAAGGTTGGGGACCGCAGCCCTAAAAGACAAAAGACTCGTGTTCAAAAAGAGGTTAAATTCTCCTTATTTCACATAATAGTAGACATTGAACTTTATATTCCCCAGAGATTTTTTTAAAAAATCTCCCTATTGTGAGATCTTAGAATTGTATTTTATTTTCTAGAGTGTCCCTAAAGATCAACTCTTCTTGCCTTTGCAAAAATAACACTTTTCCCCCAGGCACTCTGATTTCCAGCAGGTGGTGCTCCTCTTCAGTAAAAAGAATAAATTTATGTTTCAAATGGCAAATGTTTTATGTACTTATCTGGCAAAAGATTTTTCTACGTGGCAGTTTTTACTCAAAATAACTTTTATTCTTTCAACCCTGAAATTTATATTATCAGTATGGGGGGGGGGAGGAAGCCCTCACAACAAAATTATACTTACAAAAGCTTTTCCCTCCTAAGTTTCAGTGTTTTCCTAAATGCAATGCATTTTCTTTATTAGCATCACTGCATTGTTAATCATGCAGGGAAATTTAGAAATAATTTCCCATGTAACAATTGTGAAAGCATCCCTCAATAGTTTCATTCTTAATATGAGACTGTAGTATAAATATAAACAGAGCAAGCCATTGGATAGAGCTATATTAGTTATTGGCATAACACACCCTATAATATATACATTATTTAACCTTAAAGGGATAGAGAATGGGAAAGCTTTCAGTGTTAAAACCTTTCAGTGTTAAAATCTATTCACTTATAATACAGGAAGTCTTCAGCTCTAAGCTATATAAACATAGATGGATTAGGTATTTGTATCGGTCTAGAACTTTCTTTGGATTATTCCTGTTCAAGTACACCAGATAATATTTGTACTAATATATAACTGTCTTTTAACTCAATGACAACTTTAAGAACATTATTATGGGAATTATCAGTCACATTACAGTACTTTTAGCGTGTAATAGTTCAGTTACTGGTACAATAATTCTTTCATCAATGAAGAATAAAAAGATTCTGAAAAAGTCCCTAAAACAGACAAAACACACAATTCAACTTAATCATTATTTTGCAATGATTAACATATAGAATTAGAAAAATCAGATTCTTTCCCTAAATAGCTCCTAAATTTTTGGAACTTTTGTCTCCAAATTCACCATTAGCTTTATTTATAGTTTCCCACAGCAAATCTAATAATCTTCATTATGACCGCAGACTAGTATAGCACATTGCATTTATTCAAATCCTCATCTCAAATTATGTCTAAGAGTTATCCTTCTGTTCAGAAACAAATGACCTGAACTCTCTCCATCAAAAAATAAAACAGAAATAACAGCATGGAGAACCGGTTTAGTGTAGTGGTTAAGGCACTTGGCTAGAAACTGGGAGATTGTGAGTTCCAGTCCCACCTTTAGTCCCAAGTCAGTTGGGTGACCATGATTGATTCTCTTACTTTCAGCCCAGAAAGGAGACAATGGCAAACCACTGAAATTTGCCAAGAAAACTGCAGGGACTTGTCTAGGCCAGAGGTCTCCAACTTTTCCGGGCTCGAGGACCGGAGGGAAGGAGAGCAGCTCCAAAATTGGTGTGCATGCGCGCACACATGGGACCACACACATTGGCATGGCACTAGCAGCCCTGCTCACACATGCAGTATGTGCTGGTGCTGTGTGCATGTGCGAACGGCTGTGCATCCCCCATGGCAGCTAGTGGCCCTTTCCCACATGTGTGAACGGGCTGCGCAAACTGGCTGGGCTAGCAGTGCATGAGCAAACAGGCTGCGGACACCCGCCCCACCCCGTGCTAGCATGCCTGCGCACATTCGCAAACAGGGCTGCGGGGAAAATGCATGCCCATGCGTGCACGCACCAGCCAGCTGTTTCTGTGGCCCGCTGGCCAAGAGCCCACAGCCTGGTCCCGGGCCAAGGACCTTAGTTTGGGGACCCCTGGTCTAGGCAGCCTCCAGGAGTCAACACTGTCGCAAAAGCACAAAAAAAACAAGCAAACAAAACATCTAGCATGAGGCACAAGGAGCTTATTAAAAAGGAATCAAGCCTCATCACTGTGACAAAAACAATAGCATCTTTTAGTAGCTCAAAGCATAATATATTCAGTATAGCACAAAGGCTTGTGGATTACAGGCTATTTCATCAGATGCATGAAATGTCTTCCTGAATTCAGATTACCTTAGCTTCAGATGGTAGTGGCAGATTAGCTCTTGATGGCTGCTTTGTCCTTGATGCTTTTGGTAGACGCTTAACTGGTACAATATCTGGATTTGGTTGAATTTTGCTAGGTGATAAAACTGAGTAATGTCTATTTGCTATTTCAGTAAGTGTTCTTATATGTTTTAATTTGTGCTTAAAAATCGAAGCTTTAAGAGGATGAAGTTCTCTGGATGAAGGGCAAGCATCCGTGGTCAAGTAATTGATAATTTTTGCTGCAGCACTAATAGTAGTTTGTGGACTAAACCAGTTTGAAATGTCCATGCAATTGCTAGTAAAATTAGAAGAAGTTGCCTCTGGGATGTGTTGCCCGAGATATTTATTTACTGATAGTAAGTTGTTGCTTGATGCTAAATATCCATATGTAGGGAAGCATCGGCACTGGCTTATTGTATGTGAAGATCTAGCCAGCAATCCCAATAGTTTCACTGCCATCTTTTCATTGAAACCTAAAGAAGAGAGTTACAGAACATTAATTTTCTAAAAAGGAAAAAAAATATTAAAAGTTTACAAAAGAAGTTTGCAGAGCATCTTACAAAAAATAATTATTATAGTCACTTTGTGTTTGTAATCTCAGTTTTAAAGAAGCCAGCAAGGAAACTAATCAAGGAGAGAAGCAACCTAGAACTAAGGAGAAACTTCCTGACAGTTAGAACAATTAACCAGTGGAACAACCTGCCTCCAGAAGCGGTGAATGCTCCAACACTGGAAGTTTTTAAGAAGAGACTGGACAGCCATTTGTCCAAAATGGTATAGGGGGTTGGACTAGATGACCTCCAAGGTCCCTTCCAACTATTATTATTATTATTATTATTATTATTATTATTATTATTATTATTATTATTATTATTACTACTATTACTATTAATATTATTACTATTATTTGAAGGGAAGTGTGTAGTGGGGTGCCTCAGGGCTCTATTCTGGGTCCAGTGCTCTTCAACATCTTCATCAATGATTTGGATGAGGGGATAGATGGGGAACTCATCAAATTTGCAGATGACACCAAGCTGGCAGGAATAGCCAGCACTCCAGAAGATAGGATTACGATACAGAAGGATCTTGACAGACTTGAACATTGGGCGCTATCTAACAAAATGAAATTCAATGGTGAAAAAAGTAAAGTTCTACATTTAGGCAAGAAAAACTAAATGCACAGGTATAGTATAGGATAGGTGGTACCTTGCTCAATAGTAGCAACTGTGAGAGGGATCTTGGAGTCCTAGTGGACAATCACTTAAATATGAGCCAACACAGTGCTAGGCTGCATTAATAAAGGGATAGAATCAAGATCATGTGAAGTGTTAATACCACTTTACAATGCCTTGATAAGGCCACACTTGGAATACTGCATCCAGTTTTGGTCACCATGATGTTAAAAAGATGTTAAGACTCTATAAAGAGTACAGAGAAGAGCAACAAAGATGATTAGGGGACTGGAGGCTAAAACATATAAGGAACAGCTGCTGGAATTGGGTATGTCTAGTTTAATGAAGAGAAGGACGAGGGGGAACATGATAGCAGTATTCCAATATCTCAGGGGCTGCCACAAAGAAGAGGGAGTCAAGCTATTCTCCAAAGCGCCTGAAGGCAGGACAAGAAGCAACGGGTGGAAACCAACCAAAGTTAGTTCCCAACTTACGACCATAATTGAACCCACAGTTTTGATCGTAAGTTGCACTGATTGTAAAGCGGGCCACCATGTAACCACACCTAATTTTACCTTTTTTGCAGTTGTTGTTAAGCAAAAGCTATGGTCATAAAGCAAATGCCGCTGTCATTAAGTGAATCCATTGTTCTATATAGGATCGCTTTTGCCAGAAACTGGAAATAAAACCAGTTTCCAGTAAAAGCGATGTAAATCATGATTACATGACCACAGGGAACTGCAAATAGCTGTAATAACCATAAATGTTGTTTAAGGCTGTTTAAAAATAACTGCTTAGAAAATGTCTATTTCTTCCAAATGTAGATTAAACACTATTCAAATATACACATGGCAAACAATATTATGTATAATAAAATATATAATATAAAGTTATTATAATATACTATAAATACAAAAGCATGTATGGGAGTACTAATGATAAAATGATAGAGTTATAATATAAAGTTATATAAAATAATATAAATATACAAAAAGGTAACATTGGAATGAGCGCTTTAAATGTTAGCACCAAGGAAGGAAATTATGAGAATGAAATTACATTTATGAGAATGTTAAAAAAAATCAAGTTTTTAAGCATAGTATACATCAGAGGTCCCCAACCTTTGGGGCACCAATTCCGTGGAGAGAGGTTTTTCCATGGACCGGAGGGGGCATGGTTTTGTGTGCTGCCTGCATCCGGCAGATGGGGCTTTGCTTGTTTGTGCGGACCGGTTGCTGGTATGCCATGGTCCGGTACCGGTCCACTGACCGGGGGTTGGGGACCCCTGGTATACATGGTTTAGCTGGCAAAAAATTTAAATATGGCCATTATGTACCTTGTTTGCGGCATAATAGCTGTATAGAGGAATAGTAATAGCATTCTTCCAAAGGGAAAAGTAGAAACAATTGATGCAAAAACTATAGACAAAATTGTTATGTAATATTGGAAAGTAATACCTGCAGAATTCCAAATGAAAGGGTACAGGAAATGACAATGAGCAACATTTTCAAGAGCAGTCTGAATATGCCAGGTATATTTTTGCTCCTCAGTAGGTTAATGAGAAAATAAGTTTACTACATATTTACTGTTTTAAAGACAACATAGTCAGGCGACTAATCTTGAACTGTGAAATATTTTGCAAAAATGTCCCTAGAATGTAAACTGCTAAATCGGGTGAGATTGATATATCATTCATTCATTCATTCATTTTATATGCTCCATCTCACCTGAATAACACACAACAAATAAAAAACCAAGACTCTAATAAAAACTAGTTAAAAACAAATATACAGCATATAAAGCTATCAATAATCACTTAAAAATAACCATGGTGAGCAGCAATCCATTCTTGTGTCAGCTTAACACAGACACTGTAAACATTCCCCACCATTACTGGAATACTAAGCACGCTAGAAAAGTCATATCTTCATGGCCTTCCTAAAGGCTGGAGGTGGGGGGGGCACTGGGCCAATCTAAGTTTCGGGGGAATGGTATTCCAAAGGACAGGTACCCCAGCAGAAATGCTTTTCGTCCTGCTCCTGCTAGATATTCTTTCATACCTGCTAGATGATACTCTTTCATAGATGGCACCTGTACCATGTTTCTCCTACCAATCCTGAGGGGATGGTTAGATATAACCATGAAGAGACAGTCCCTCAAATGAGGAAGTAAAACCTTTTTAGCTGTTTGATTTATTTGTGGATAAATATATAGTATAAAGGATGCTTGAAGCCAGAAGAGTGCTAGTGGAGACATCTATGTATATGCACCTATCCACATAGATGATGCCATGTTGTTGGCTGAAAACCTATCTTACACAAACTGCAATATCTCATAATAGGTTTAGGTTAAAAGATGCTGCATCTTTTTGAGGTTAAGCACCAATAGTGTTATACCATCTTAATTCAAGGGAATCCATTCCCTTTAACCCATGTTCAGGACCAACATGACCCAAAATATTTCCTTGTATAAAAATTTAACCTCCTCTCCCTATAGTACTACTGGTACTTGTCCATATACTTAGATTTGTCAAATGTTGGTCCTGAGTATGGTACAAGAATTATTTCAGAGAAAGTTATCTCATAAACTACAGCTTTCAATCTCCTATTTAGAAAATTCATTTTGCATATTTCTTCCTATCTCTAAAGCACTTCATCAGTATTTTCTTGATTTAAGGTATCTACAGTCTTTGGTTATGACAGATACTTCATCATGTGGACTACATGCCCATAACAAACCCAACTATCAATTTCTCTAATGAGTACTTGGAGCATAGTAGTCATTTTTGGATTATCTGGACCTGTGGTAGTCTGGATTCAGGTCTCGACATAGAATGGAAACAGCACTAGTTGTACTCACAGTTAACTTTTGTAGGACTTGTAGGGAGGAGTGTGACCGTCCTTGTACTGCTGGACCTCACAGCAGCCTTCAGTCCCGTTACCCATGCTTATTCTTTAGTTGTTTTCTTTCTTTCCTGAGTTGGGCCAATCAGTGTAGGGAAAGAGAGGCTGGACTCTTGGTCTCTGTTATAAAACAGAGTTTTATTCTTTATCCTATCCTACTTAATATATACATGAAACTGCTGAGGAAGGTCATCATTAATTTCATGACAAGAGATCATCACTAGATAGATGAAGTCTGTTATGTATCTCCATCTCCAACCCAATGGGAGATGTGCCAGATGTTCTCATTTGATGTCTGAATGGAAAAAGATGAGCTCAGACTCAACCCAAAGAAGACGGAGTAGCTCTTGATTCTGAAACCTACTGATTGCAAGGCAATACTAACCATGACCCTAAAAGGGCTTAGTACAGAGAGAAATGCTTGCTGTCTTGGGTCCTTCTGGACTTTCAGCTCTTACTAGAAGAGCAGATGGTCAGGAGGGCCTCAACTCATTGCACTGCAAACAATTTCTCATGCCCTTTGTTGCATAGATTATTGTAATTGACTTTACATGGACAGCTTAAAGACAGCTCAGAAACTTCAACTCGTGTAAAAACAGCACCCCATGTGCTTACTAGGCAATCACATTACAGCATATTACATCACTGCTGTGAAGCTACTAGTTATTGATACATTTCTGGATATAAATCAAGGTGCCGATTTCCACTTTTGCAAGTTCATTGGGGCATTTCTGGGAGATATTGAAGATGCTGTGCGGCTTCCCCCCACCCCAACAACCTCCCCCCCAAGGATAGCTCCCAGTGTCATGACCTTTGTATAAAGAGGTCGCTTTTCTAGAGGATTTTTGGAAGTGTTAGTATTATTGCCTGTAGTACGGTAGTACCTGTACACAGCTATAGTCAGTCAGAACCATTGCAGTAGATAAATTGCACAAATAATTAAATAAGTTAATTGAATTATTCTACACCCAAATGATCTACTCTCATTCTGGATCAAAGTTTGGAAACAGTAAAGAACTGAATAAGGACCAACAAATGTTAAATGAATCTCAACAACACTGAGGTCCTATAGGTGGCTTGTTCTCAGGTACAGGGATTGGCTAATCATATTGTTTTGAATGGCGTTGCCCTAACAGTTTGAGGCTAATTATCCAAAAGAATATTTTACAAAAAAACTGAGCATGTTCTTAGAATTAGGCCTTTTTGCTGTTCCATTAATAGAAGAGTGCATTGAATAAGGCCATAAAATAGATTTTTCTCAGTTGAGCAATCCACAAAGTTGAATGTTCTCTCTAAAAACCTTCTGTTGCCAAGTCACAGATCATTCAGTAAAAAGTCTAAATTTTATTAGATCTGAGGATCTACTTTAAGAATCTATGGTATGGGGGTGTTCCAATATTACAGGGATATATTTAATCTGTCACATGTTTTCATCAAAAATAGATCCACATGAAAATAAACCAAAGTTTAGCGTCATCAAAAATAGATCCACATGAAAGTAAACCAATAGTTTAGCGCCTGCATTCTGAAAGACTTTCAAGAACTGTTTAATGCAGACCCTATGGGAGTAACATAACCTACAAAACATAGTGGGCTGTACTATATGAATGGCTACAACTAGTATACCGAACAGTGTGTGAGGATCTACTTTAAGAATCTATGGTATGGGGGGGTTCCAATATTACAGGGATATATTTAATCTGCCACATGTTTTCATCAAAAATAGATCCACATGAAAGTCAACCAATAGTTTAGCGCCTGCATTCTGAAAGACTTTCAAGAACTGTTCAATGCAGACCCTATGGGAGTAAACATAGTGGGCTGTACTATATGAATGGCTACAACTAGTATACCGAACAGTGTGTGAGGATCTACTTTAAGAATCTATGGTATGGGGGGGGGGTGTGTTCCAATATTACAGGGATATATTTAATCTGCCACATGTTTTCATCAAAAATAGATCCACATGAAAGTAAACCAATAGTTTAGCGTCATCAAAAATAGATGCACATGAAAGTAAACCAATAGTTTAGCGTCATCAAAAATAGATGCACATGAAAGTCAACCAATAGTTTAGCGCCTGCATTCTGAAAGACTTTCAAGAACTGTTCAATGCAGACCCTATGGGAGTAAACATAGTGGGCTGTACTATATGAATGGCTACAACTAGTATACCGAACAGTTGTGTCATCTTATCCTCTCTGAGCTCACATTTTAAGGGAAGCTTGATTAAGTCCCATCCAAACCTCTGCCCAAACCATCCAACTGGGTTCCCATTTAGTTCCACAGGCAAAGAATTTAGAATCACAAATTTGACGTTGGAAACTGTATTTGCTCACAATGCCTTGCCAACTGCAGGTAGAAAGTCAAACCTCAATATATCAGGGCACGAGCTTGCCTACTACCGATCTAGCTTTGTTTCGTCCGTCAGTTTGCTGACGATGTAGTTAATACCTCACAGCCCTTGAATTACCTCCTGGCCCAAAAGGTATTGAAAAAGGGAGGCCGACTCAACCCCGAAAACCTTTGCAGGCAGCTATTTTATAGCAGTGTTTCTCAACCTGTGGGTCGGGACCCCATTTGGGGTCGATCGACCATTTCATGGGGGTCGCCAAGCAAGGCTGTCCGCCATTTTTTTTGTCCGCCATTTTTTCCCCCTTTTCCGGCAGGTCCCTTGGGCTGGGCCAGCTGGTGGTCGGCCTGCTCCGTCTCTGCCACTTGCCAGCTACGCCTCGGCCGGCGCAGGGGGCAGAACCACGCATGCGTGGCGCTCCCGGGCAGGGAAAGTCCTCGACTTACAACCGGTTGGGTAGTCCTCGACTTATGACCGGTTTAGTCCTCGACTTACGACCGGTTTAGTCCTCGACTTACGACCGGTTGGGGTTGCGGCATTAAAAAGGTTGAGAACCACTGGTCTATAGGGAGGAAGAAACTTCGTCAATGTTATTTTCTGAAAATTCATCTCCACTAGCAAACGGTGCAAATGGACTCGACCATGTCCGAAACTCGTCCGATTAAATAAAATCTAAAGCTCTTCCCGATTCGAATCGTGAGGGGGAAGCAGCCACGGCCCTGGGGGGGGAAGAAATAATCCCCCTTCTATTTTAGCCATATATTGATTCCGACAGAAAAAGAGAAGCGAAGCAGCCCATCAGAAAAAAAGGCATCTCCTTCTTCACACCTCCGTCAGGCCCTGACATGGAGTGGGCCGCCCAAGTAGGAAGCCCCCCCGGCTCCTCTAGCTGAGGTGGCCGCAGCCAGTTTCGATATATATATATACATCCGGGCTCCAGCTCCGTTACCTGTCCGCCAATCCCGCTCTCGCCTCTTAAGATCGGCGAAACGCCGCACCGATTTCGTCCCCGTCCGCCACGCGCTCGCTTCGTCCAATCATGTTCTCCGCCTCGCCTCTCTTTGGATCCACCCCCCCCCACCCAAGAGCGCGGAAGAAAGCTCGCGCCTCGCCGTCAGGTGACCTCGCGTAGCTTTCCCGCCTGGCTTCCCTCCGCTCGCCCGCAGCCTCCCCCGTGTCTCTCCTTTTTTTTTTTTTTTAACCAATATAAAGGCACCGAGCCACCGACCAATAGGAAGGAGAGTTTGGCTCGGGAAGTTGCGCAACCGGAGTCTGCGGGGCTGAGGTCACAATGATTAAAATGGCGACGCCGCAGTTGGTGGGGTTACCGGCTTCTCTTGCGGGCAAGATCAAGGGGTGCGTTTCTTCTTCTCGCCGGCTCCTTGTAATTTGGAAAGGGGAAGGGGGTGGAGGGAGAGAAGAGGCAGGAATAAAGCATTGGGATTGAGAAGGTTGAATTGTAGAGTGCCACAATGCGAGGACTTTCTGCCCGAGTGTGGTTTTTTTTTTTTGAAATCCTCTTTCCTGCTCTGCTTTGCGGCTGCTTGTTGGAATTGCGAAGGCTTCCAGGAGTCCCAAAGCGTTGGGAAGGCATCAGGTTGCGGAAGACTGCGCCACTTTGCTTATTGCTATTTTCGGCTATATTCCGGGGACATTGCTTAACTTACCCATGCTTAACTGAACCGTGGTGTGATCAGGGTTCAATTTTTGTGGGTTTGCACGAGGCACTAAACCGTAAACGAAACCCAGCAATTTGGGCCAATGCTACGAACTTTGCCTGATTTTAAAAGTGGCTACGTATAAATTTATCAGCTGTGTTTATGTTGTTCATTAAATTACTGGTGCTAAAATCGAGCAAATGTCATTATTGATCTTTTGCAGAAATTATAAAAACGCGACCCTGATATAGGTAATAGCTTGGTCTCTATAATGTTCCCAATGTTATATTTGTATTTTTTGAAAGTGTGTCAGGAATTTCATTATTCCAGTCAGCCAGTTCATTTTTCCAAGAGTTGCTTTGGTGTAATAATTAAATGTGCAGGGCTAGAAACACTCTTATAGTTCTACGTATCATAGATGCAAAACCAACTGGGGGACTTTGGGCAAATCATTCTCTCTGAAAACCTTGCTGAGAAAATTGCAGACACATATATATGACCTGTTCAGACTGAACAAGATATATAGTGCATAACAAGCCCATAAAAGTAGAGTAGTTGATTTTTTATTTTGAAAGTTTGGACCCTTGAAGGGTCTAAAATTAGTGTACAATTAAGACCAAACAATCAGTTCATAGTATCAGAGTCTTCCAGCTTTATTAGGCGCCCTTATTTTTAAAGCTGGAAGGCTCTGACACTATGAATAATTGGTTAGACTTAAATTGTACACTAATTTCAAGCTTTTCAGGGACTCAAGCTTTAAAAATAAAATTGACATTCTAATTCATGTTGAATATTTGGTAATATTCAAGCTATTTACAAGCCTCAAATATTGTTTTTTATAGATCTTTTGCATATAACACAATTAAAGACAGGCTGCCTCTTATCCTGACTCGTGTTGTTGATACTTTACATCGACATAAACATGAATTCTTTGAAGAACATGGAGAAGTAAGAAACTCCCTTTCTGTTTTATTCGTGTATGAATACAAATGTTGACTTTGCTTACTGCTTTCTATAGTTCTGCATAACTGAGACATAACTTTTCCTGTTTCAAATGTCAAGGATGTACTGGATTGGCCAAGGTTTGTCTTGTTGAGCATCATCTTCTCATTTATTTTTGAAATCTTTTAAAGTCTTCTAAACTAATCAACTCTCAGAATCTTGTAGTAGGCCATTGTGCATGAACATGTAAGTGCCTTTTATGATCTATAACCCTTGCTAATTAATTTAATTAAATGAACCTGAACACTAGAATCATTGGAAGAAGAAAATGTTTTTCTTTCGGTGAATGCTGAACAATGCTATTATTTTAAAATAATAATTTAGAAGTAGGAAATACAAATTAAAATAAATTATCTTGCTGGGTTATGCCCCTTTGCCAGCTTCTTCAAAATTAAAAAAAAAAATCAAACCCCTCTTTTTTATCTGTCTTTGGGATAGATAGCATCACCACCAGATGGATTTGTAACTGGCTAATAAACTGTACTCAAAAGAGTAGTCCTTAATGGTACTACATCTACATGGAGGGAAGTAAGCAGTGGGATACCACAAGGTTTTCTCTTAGGCCTAGTACTCTTTAATATCTTAATAAATGACTTAGATCAGGGAATAGAAGGAGAACTCATCAAATTTGCAGATGACGCTAAGCTGGCAGGAATAACCAACACCCCAGAAGACAAGCTCAGGATCCAAAAAGATCTTGACAGACTTGAACAATGGGCCCTATCCAACAAAATGAAATTTAATGAGAACAGGAAGGTTTTATACTCGGACCAGAAAAACCAAAGGTACAAGTACAGATTAGGCGAAACCTGGCTCAAAAACTAACTCTGAAAGGAACCTTGTGAACGATCACTTAAACATGAGCCAGCCGTGTGTGGCAGCAACCAAAAAAGCTAATACAATCCTTGGTTGTATCAATAGAGGCACAGAATCAAAATCACGTGAAGTATTAGTGCCACTTTATAAAGCCTTAGTAAGACCACATCTGGAATACTTTATTCAGTTTTGGTCACTACTCTTCAAAAAAGATGTTGAGACTTTGGAAAAAGTGCAAAGAAGAGCAACTAAGATGACCAGAGACAAAAATATGAAGAATGGTTGGAGGATTTGGGTTTGGCTAGTCTAGAGAAAAGAAGGAATAGGGGGGGACATGATAGCAGTATTCCATTATTTGAGAAGCTGCCACAAGAGGGGGTCAATTTATTTTCCAAAGCACCAGAGGGCAGGACAAGAAACAATGGATGGAAACTAATCAAGGAGAGAAGCAACCTGGAATTAAGGAGAAATTTCCTAACAGTGAGGACAATTAACCAGTAGAACAGGTTGCCTTCAGATGTTGTGGGTGCTTCATCACTGGAGATTTTTAAGAGGAGACTGGACAGTCACTTGTCTGAAATGGTATAGGATATCCTGCTTGAGCAGGGGGCTGGGAACTCCCAAGGACCCTTCCAGTTCTGTTCTGATTCTGATTTTTCCTAGGAAAGTTCAGCTCCCATTTATTTTAGTCATTCCTTCATATACCAGTTTCATTAGGTTACATGCCATATATCCAAGAACTCTTTATTGCTCAATGATCAGTACCGTATTTTCCGGCGTATAAGACGACTTTCTAAACCCTGAAAATCTTCTCAAAAGTCGGGGGTCATCTTATACGCCCAGTCGTCTTATACGCCGGAAAATACGGGTATTCTATTTTATTCCTTTACACATGTGGTTTGGCATATTACTCATCAAGTTTTCTCTCCCCTCCCCCCTCGCTCAAACTCTATATTTTAACTGGAAAAGTTGGGGGTTGTCTTATACGCCCAGTTGTCTTATACGCCGGAAAATACGGTACTTTATAAACTATTCTAAAATGTAAAGCTTGGAAGGAATCTTTGAAATAATTTAGTCCAACCTATCTGGCAGATATCCACTACTACAGCATCTTCAAGAGGTCACCAGTACCTACATCTATCCTGTATTTTCCCTGTAATTTTCCCTATCCATAGGTGATACTTTGCATTGTCCTCATTAAAATTCACATTGGCTGATCTTTAGTCAGTCACTCAGCTTCAAGATCCTCTTGAATTTTGGTGGAATTTTTATGCAGGTGTTTGCTATCCCCCATCTTTGTCATTTGCAAATGTGATAATCCTATGTTCTGATTCCCTCATCCAGGTCAGTTATATATATGTTGAACAGCACAGGGGCCTCCAATAGTGGCCTGCAATACAGGTAGTCCTCGACTTATGACATTAATGGAGTCTGCCCATTACAGTTGCAAATCATTACTGTTGTTAAGCGAGGTGCTCATGTGATCACCTCACTTAATGACACCAATCATTGCTCTCCCCATTGTGGTAATTAAGCGGAGCGCAGAGTATCTTGGGTGGGGAAGGCCCTGGGAGGTCTAATACAGGCCCATGCCCAAACTGCAGCATCTTGCCAGTTCACATGCCTGTTCTCCCAGGATACTCCCCCAACTCTAAGGCTCCACTGGCTCCACTCCACTTCCCATCCCACTGGGTCCCTTCAGATCTTGGACTTGCTTTCCCACTGGGTCCTAAGTCTGATGTCTTCCATATTTTGTCTAGCTCTGGCATAATTTTTCTTCCAAGCAGTAAATGTCTTTTTATTTCATGGCTACTATGATCTTCATTGTGCAGTTTTGAATCTAGGAAGGTCAAGTCTGTTACCACTTCCATTTTTTTTCTATGTCTATTTGCATTGGTTTGTCTTTCCCTGTTGACCTAATCTGTCCCTTCTCTTCGTTGTGGAATAGCTGGCTTTTGCACCCTTTTTCCCCCTTCAAGAAGATTACAGTATTTTAAGTATTCAGCATTTCATTTCCTTTAATTATTTTCAATAAAACAGCAGGCAGTCATTTCATCTTTTTACATTTTGAGGGAGTTTTGTTTGCTTCATCTTTAATGATGTTACATTAACAACATCTAAAGGTATTCTAATTATTAAACCTATTCTTAGTTTCCCCCTAAAAGGGTGTGGTGGAACATTGTTTGAGATTGGGTCCTGTTGGTCAGGCAATTTTCTTTTGTCTAGTAGAGAAGGAGTCTGTGGCACCTCAGTTACAGACAGCACTAGGTTTTGCTTTTGCTGATTTAATGGAGCATCTCCAACTTTACTTTCAGAGTATATAGTTTATATTGGTGTGCTCCATTCAGTTATGTCTATACATAATCTTTTTGATTATTGGAAGAAGATATTTGTTATAAATATGGAATCTTCTTAAAACACATGTTGGTTTCTCCCACTCTCATTTTTTTTTTCTTCTTGTAATCCCAAATTTTAATATTTCAGTAACCTGGTATTTCCTCTGCGTTTCTGACTGAGCATAGATTTGAATCAATATAATAACAATTAACTTGCCTTGGACTCAAAATTATTCT